CAGCCAGAGCTATTCCTCTACACAGAACAGTCATTCACAGCACAACGAAAACAGCAGATACAACCTTAGAACAACTTTTATTTGGAAAAGGAAATGATTTAAGTCACTGTTAGCTTTGCCTGAAACACAATCACCTCCAAATTCATGTTTTTTTTACAGTCCTTTTCATAAATCATAATGGTATATCATGCATGCAATACTGCATTAGCCGCTTAAAATGTTATCTTCCACAGAAAAAAAAAGAGGATTCAACACAAAAATCCCTTTTAAGTCCATTTGAAACTGCTTGGAGAAGCCATAGCATGAAGCGATGTACACAGTCTGCGGTTGCATAGTACAGTACATGAAGTTCCTCATTTTAAACCAGCATGCCGTTTTGTATTGCACATCACTGAAACTTTGTATACTGAACCTTGCTGTTGTTCCAAGTGTCCCACATGGGTTGTCTTTGATTTCAGCACATGTATACAGCAAATAGCATCTCTCAGAGACTTTATGTACAGTTATATCTTAGAAAAATAATCGCCAGCAAATATTCATCTATTATCTTTCTACTGGAATAAATGTTTGCTCTTTTGTGTCTTACGTTTTTTATTTTTTGATAATTTACATTTTACCAAAAGAAAGTCCTCCCCCTTGAGGTTCATTAATTTGTGATCAACTTGAGATTTCACCAGTGAAAAAACAAAATTGGTGACAAAACGCCTTTTTTATTGGTTTAGACAAAAGTTTGGCCACAAGTTGAAGGCAAAACAAAGGTAAAGTTTGTTCAGTTTTGTTTCTCAGTATGATAGAGAGTTCAATTTAGTTCCAGCGTATTCTATTTTTTTAAAAAAAAGAAGAAAATCAGACATGACTCATCTTTCAGGGCACCATACAGAGAAGGTGGGATGCTGGTCTGGAAATCCCTTCTGATTGTCTCAAGCAGCCCGGTTCCACATTGGTTGGTGTGACTTTCAAATCTTAAATGGCTTCCTATCTAATCCGCCAATGAGATCTTGATGCTATGGGGCAAGATGAGACACATAAGCTGCTTGTAAACAATAGCACTGTTTTCATTTGGAGTCCTAATTTTTCTGTTAGAGGACAAAAAGGAAAGAGGGCAAAGAAATCAAAAGATTATTGAAGTCATCTGTGCCCAACTACCAGATTCACATTGTAGAAACAGTTGCTCAAAACTTGTGCTATACAGGTTTTTCAATGTTAATATTCAATATTTTATCCAGATCTATACAAAGTGATCAATTACACCAACTTAGGGACACAAATGAATGCATTAGGCTGCTTTTACATCAGGGAAATGTTGGCCTTTTGTGCCACGATAGGCTGTTGTCAGGTAGATGAAATAGGATGAAGAGGGGAGTTCAGCCACAAAGTCCTCCTTCCAAAGCTTCTCTAACTGGGACTCTAAATTTGCACAGCTTCTCAAAGCTGTCCGGCTGAAGAGATCTTGGAATCAAATATCTGGCATGTTGGACCAGATTCTATCTGCATGGTAAAGTTTCAAATCAGTCCTTTTCTTTTCCTTTACGTTTTAAATCAAGAAGTTAGGAAGAGATGAGGCCTGATTTTCTGTAAAGGTCCTCCGGACTGACTGAAGCTGTTTTGAAGATGAAAACCTAAAGCCCAGCAGGTAACCCGAATTGTATTGACTCAGTCTTCCTTCTATCCCAAACCCTTCATCCACTCTTTCTTTGTAAAAAGAAAAAAACCTAAACACATTCTTACAAAAGCCAACCTAAAGTAAGCATTTACTTCTCTATCTTGTCATCAACTTGTGTAATTCTCTTTTATGCCACGAATGAGAGAAAAAAGGGCAACTCAGACCTGAACTTCATTGCTTTTACACCCTTACTTTGCTACATCCAGCAGTTTGAACTGGCACTTCGAAAAGGAGCCACTCTGAGGTCAAAAACGCTGCTTTGTCCACACCTCGTGGAGCTGCTACATCACTATTTGGTGTGTCCAGTCCATGAACTTCAAATGACACCACTTTCAACAAATTAATTCAGCAAATATACAAAACAGTGAGCAGAAAAAAACATGGCTGCCTCCAGGGTTGCCGTGTCTCCTCGATGCAAACAGCTCTCTTTATATCCCCGAAGATAAGAAATGCAACACTTAAACACACCTGCAGACCCATGCTGTCAGACAGCCAACACACAAAGCTACAAACCACACAAGTGTGCATACAGATCCAGCTCAAAGCGGAAGGTTTCTTCATTTCAGAGGGCCTTTCATTTAGTTTGAGGTTTGGATTGAAAGTATTGAGATGCCACTTTGTATAGATCTGATGAAAAAAAACACTTTTTTTTTTGTCAGAAGTCTGAATGTAGCAGTTGCTTAAACTTTTGTCCGAACATGCCACAGATAGCTTTGCTTCATACCGCACACTTCCAACATGTCAGCTGTCATTCAGAGGGAGCAAACATGGCTGACAAGTTTTCTGGGATTTCTTAAAGTCTAAATCACATGAAAGTACATACCCATGTCAAACTTTCCATTTCCTAACTAAGAATACACCATTTGGGAGTTTGTTTTTATATCAACTGGAGAAATAAATACAAACCTAAAATAATTTGACTGTTTATTGGTTAATTAGGTTATTGTAACGTCAGGTTTGGTCCCCTACACAGTTCTTTGTGGTTTATATTGTTTTCCCATGACATATGTTAGGCTCGTATACAGGCTTTCCATAAATCTGTCACTCTTTCAGCTAATTTGCAACAACACACAAAGAGTGACAGCTGGCTGAACACATACTGCCAGTGAAATGTGTGAATGAGAAAATAAACGAATCCCTCGGACAAATCCAGTGATGTCATCATAATAACAAGGAAACTGATTTTAAAAGGAACAGGCTATGTACAGTAAATTAGAATAAGAGGTTTAACATCATCAGTAGCAGCTCTGTTTCCATACAAAGCACCATGTGGGTTCAGTAAACTCGGATTGTATCCAATGTTTCAGTGCAGATTCCATCATGGTAACATAACAACAAACAAATAGAAACTTATCAAGTGGGCTCAAACTTTTTACATCATGCAATATCACCTGACCAACATATACCGATTTCTAAAATATTTTCCATGATTGACCTCCAGAAATATCATTCATCTGCAGTTTGGTATCCAAGTGTCTTCTCTTATTTTTCACTTTTTTTTATTCAAAAAACAAAAACGTTTCTTTTTTTTCTTCCATTTTTGACTCACTTATTTTATTAACTTCTTTTTTTTTCTGGCGGGAGGTGCCCCAATCTTCTACAAACATCAAGTTGAGTACAGCGGGATTTCTACTTAACGTTTGGAGGGAACATGCTCTGCAGTCGGGAAAACATGCCACTTAAACAAAGAATGAACGTGTCGCATTCTTACCATTGAAATCCCATTAAACCAACCCAGGGTTTTTTTTTTTTAGAGCAATTAAATAATGCCGTGAAGTTCAGGCAATCAACACCTGTGATACCCGCCAAGAAATGTAAAAGGTCTATCAAACAAAAAAAAGAACAAACCAAACAGCTGCCGGTCCCATTATTTGCTTTGGGTGCGGCAAAAATAAGAGACAGAACACCCCCAACCTGATTGGTTGGTGATAATCAGACTTAATTTTAACGACAGCAAATGCATATCGAGTAGTATTTTGCTATTGTGTTTCACTACGTTATTGGACAGACTCACAAGCAGTATTGCGTTCTCCTAAAAGTGTAGCTCAGACCTGATCCCAGCACCGTCAGCATCTGCTCTCTTCATGAACATGAGATGCTAAAGCTATGCTACAGAAAAGCTGGCCTTGCTCAAAGTGACTCTCAAAACAGCAAAATAGTTTGGGAATGCGAAGCACCAGTGTTCAAAAGGTATCTGCACATACACCCACAAACCCTGGCACCAACCACTGATTCACAACCGGGTCGGGGGGGGGGGGGGGGGGGGGGTTTGAAAAAATTCGACCTTTGCGTCTAAACATCCCTGGGGGACAATCCAGATGGCTAAGTAGAAAATATCAGTTAAGTGAATGCGAAGGTCATCTATCAGCATGCAAGAAGCTAAATGGTGAGAGGATTTCTACACGGCCCGGCACGGGGCAGCAGCCGTGTGCAGCGGGCTGCCCTCCGGCCCGCGGGACGCTCCCGGCACACACAAGTCCATACAGCACCACCATACCACCAGTTTTCAGAACCGGCTTGTTGACAGAGGCAACAAGCCCAATTTGAGCTGCACATCTGCCGAGCATCGTGTTAGCATGTTCCCCGAAGGTCCCGGAAACATCATCTAAAGAGATTCGTTAGCAGTATTAGTTGGCGTTGGCAGCCTGAACCTGCTGACTCGACAGGCTGCAGGTTTACGGGGCTTACCCTGACAGCCCAACTGACAAAGACCTACAAATGATTCTAGTCGCCTTTCCAAGAAAAGAAAAAAAGGAGTCAGGAAGAAGGAATAAATAAAGTAAAAAGATACAATTTGGGACCGTCTTGGCTCTGTTGCAGCGTCTGTACTGGGTGGGTGGGGTCGTGGGGGCCTGGTGCTGACAGGTGGGCTCAGAGCCGGTGCCGGGAGTCGTGGCTGTAGCTGCCCGGGGAACTGCGGTTACGATGTGGCTTGTAGGCATCCTGATAGGGGTCCTGGTAGTCCTGGTAGGGGTCCTGCTGCTCCCGGCTGTGCTGGGAGCCCGAAGACATGCGGTTCCGTCCCTTATGTGCTCGCTCGTTGTGGTAATTTTCATCCGATGTCATCAGGTTGCGCCGCTCGTTGGGGGTAGAATGGTCGCCTGTGTGGTTACTCTGCCGCATTCGTTGACTCTGCTGTACACGTGAACAGAACGCAGGGGAAAATAAAAACACATAAATAAGAATGAGTCTTTTCACCTTGGCAGCAATGAGAAATATTTAGCTACGGCAAGCAAAGCAAAGAAGACGAACACACAACTTATCTTCCACAGTTCATCGGCAAAATCACTATTTTTTTATTCCCCCTTTGAAAGTCAAAGACTGTTGATTTGTCTTTTCTTTTAGTTTTACAAACAAACATAAAATGAACACATCCACTAAAATGATGCCCATAAGTCAGCCGGAGCTTGGTACCTGCAGGCCAGAGATGCTGGTGGGGTAAGGGGTGAGCGTGGTGGGGCCCAGGTTACGCCCCAGCAGGGGGTTTAGGGGGGTGGCCATCGAGGTATGGGTCGCTTTCCAGTAAGCCTCGAGGTATTCAGCCAGGTGCTCGCAGGCATCCTCCAGCTGGTTTTCATCCAGGATGATGTCAAACATTTCCTATTGGGGACAGATGGCGCCAGATAGGGATTAGGGAAAGGTGAAGCCATTTCCACACGAAGCGGTTTTGAAAAAAGGTTTCTGTGCCCTGTAGCGGTCAGTGATCACATGGACATGTGATCATTGGTGTCCCTCACAACAATAGGGCGGCCACTTACCGGTGGACACTGGGCTAATTTGTCTGCTGCCACAAGCTGGACATTCAGGTGTTTGCTCTGGGATTTCCCTCTGGACTTAACTAACCTCTGCAGAACCTTGATGACAGAGGGAAAGAAGAGATGACTTTGATTTTTTTTTTTAAAAGTTAGCACAATTTCTTGTTTCAGGACATGAAAAAAGCAAACCCTGGAAAAAGATGGTAAAGACTCAAATGATTGTTGCTAAAGTTGCTTGATGTACTTCAGCTCATGTTATCCACATTTGTTTGCAGTATTTTGGACATTTGAACAACTCGTATTGTCGACAAATACACATTTAACATGGTGGGTGATAGATGGACTCAAGTGTGACACTTTTTTCACAATGTAACGAATGATCTGCAGACAGAGAAATAAAAACAGGAACACGAAGAACAGAATGTTAAAGAAACCAGAAAAGTTGTCAGATCTGCTTAAATCTGACAGTACTTCCATAATCCTGGTCAAGTTCCCATTCGTTTGGACAGTGGTGAGGTCTTCTGTTCAGAAAACAGAGAATCTTGCATGCTGTGGGAGAGTTCGAACAACTCACATAAGCTTTGCCTGATCAGTGAGTATTCTCTCAGCAGAAGGCTTTTGGGGGCCAAATATTAACTGCCCCCAACTGAGTGCTCAATTTGAACAGTAGCTGTGGAGATGACACAATAAGCAACTTCCTCCAGCTTCTATCCTTTGAACTCAAACCAACAGAACAGAGACTCTATTCCAGTCCAGCTGCGGCCTCACTTCAGTACCTTAGGCGAGGAGACTTTTACGTGGACGATGATGGGGGCCAGTGAGGTCTTGAGCAGCTGGGTGGGGTGGTTGATGGTGTCGGCATCCAGCACCACCAGCTGCAGGGAGCGGGCCAGCTCAAAGATCCTCTCGATCTCACTCTGCACCTCGGCTGCGGGCCAAGTCACAAACCCAATAACAACTCAAATCAAAAGTAACACTTCCACATGCATTTCCCAGCAGCAGAATGAGCTTAAAATTATCAGTCAAATATTTGCTTTTAATGCATTGACATGTAAACTGGGGACGGTGTGGGGTGTTCGCACCTAAACTGGAGCGAGTGTTGGATCTTTCGATGATGGCCCTCTTACTGGGGTTGTTGAGTACAGACCTCTTGGCCAATGATATATCTGCTGTGACTCGGGTTATAGTTATCCTGAAAAAGAAAAAGGAGACATGTATAGTTTCTGGAAGGGATTTGACAAATTATCCAAAAAACACCCCCTAAACTAAATGTAGCCTTTTCTTACCTGCCATCAAATCTGTGCTTTAGGAAGTCAAAGAGTGCTTTCTGCATCATATCTGTGACCTGTGTGGAAGGAAACAGGTTTCGTTTAAGGGGTTTCTTGTTTTTATTCTTTTCATTTTGTTCTTCGTGACTTATAAATTACTTTTCTATTTTGTTTTATTTAGGTTTCATTGTATTATACTGTATCCAGTGTAATATCTTCTAAAAACTCCCTCTGTTCCTGTAAATTTTCGCTAGAATTCAAAGAATAAAAAAGGCTTCTCCGGCAAACACAAAAAATGAACTTGTGGTGTTCGTGTCCTTTTACCGAGTTTGATCAACCATGGTACAAAGTGATGAGCTCGCCAGGCTCAGCAACAGTAAGTGCTTTGAGCCATTTTAATTTTACAGTCTGCATCTTTGCTGTTCCAGTTTCCTCTCATTGAGGATTAATGAATGAATTCAGGTATTCACTGCTGCTTCTCGTCAGTGGCACATTTATGGAGACTTCTGGCTGCTAATGGAAGGGCGCTCCTCATAGCAAAGTCAAAATCTGCCAAATGCTCAACATATTTCCCTCTGACCTCTCCTTTCCTCAGTAGTCTGGCAGCTATTGGGACGTTATGTGGGCGATGACACACTCAGAATTAATAGCGCCAACAGTGAGCTATAATTGGAGAATGGGGGGCGCTGGGGTTGATCTGCTTCTGTAAGTTCGGCCTTCACAGATATAGAAAATTACTCCTCAAAACACATTTGTAATATTTCACATGACATTCAAGAATGCTACGCCAGAACAAGCTAATAGTTTCTTTTTTTCTTTCACCCAGCTTACCTCATAACCCTTTAGCGAGGGTCCCACCAGCACTACAGGCCTCATGGAGGGAACAACATCGTATGGGGGGATGTGCTCAGTCTGTTAAAACAAAGCAGCAGCAGTGGGCTCATCACTAACAAGGAGACAGACCCAAAATAACTCCACAGAAGACGCAGCTGAAGATAAAACAGAGCTGACAGCTGTAATGAACTGTGGAGTCAGCTGATGCTGAGGTCTAACAATGTGCTAAATGGGTGGTATTCTGTCATGTAGATGCATGTAGCAAATGATAAGTTCATTTGTTCGTACAATATCAACGAGCATTTGTAAAATAATCTATAAATGCATCTATAAAAAGACTCGTGTCATGATTAGATATTTGTCAATGTCTTAAATAAATGGCAGTTTCCGGTCCAAAGATGAACATCTTACATTTGGATTTTCATAAAACGACAAATGTCTCATCATTTGCCACACAGATGGATGGATATGGCTGGCCACTGTACATAGATACTGTGAAATAGTCAAAACTGAAGTCTAACCTGTTTTCACAACAAGAGTCAGCACCACAACACAGTGACAGCAGTAAAATGGAGATATTACGCATGTGTATGTAAATCAGTCCATTTAGAGATGCCGAGATAACAAGCAAAATGAAAACATTTCACTCTTAGCATGTATTTGTAAAGAAATAGTGCACACAGTTTTCATCAATGACTCAAGGTAACTGCCTGCCACACAGAAAAAAATTGATACAAAGGTTGCCATGGCAGCAGGTGGAAGGATCAAACACACATTAATAATGATCTACCGAGTTTTAGTAAAACCGTGTCTGTGTTTTTTTGTGAATGAATTTTCTTCAGTTGCCATGGTGACAATTTGCACTGAAGCACTTTCATTCATAAGTCTCAACTATTTACATGATAAGAAATTCAATCCAAAGAGAATAAAGCAAATACATGAATGTTGTTTATGTATCTTCCAGTGGAAAAAAATAATTAATGTTATAATAAAAAATATTGGATGACAGGTTGATCATGCCCATCAATTGCTTCTCCTGAAGTTTACAGTTAGATTATTTCTTTCATTTAGATTAATCTCTCTTCAATGATCTTTAAGAATTTGCGGTCCTGTAGTCGAAACAGGTGGATCTATGTGTATAAAAGGACAGGAAGCTGGTAGGGCTCGCCTTTCCTCCTTTAGAAGTTTGCCTTCCAAAATCAAATAACCATGCTATAAATAATAAGATAATATTAAAATCTCTGATGCAAAATTTGGAACCATCTCCAATAGATGAGGGCTCCAGAAGCTTTTGGTCTAACACTTGTGGTGATCATTTGGCTCTATGCACATAATGTACTGTGAGGCTGAACTATTGTTCAGCTTCCTGTCACTCCTGTTAGATTCTGTCGTTTTATGATGGCACCAACAAGAGTCAAGTGGATGGCAGATGAGTGGGTTATACTGTCACCAACTTACCACTTTCTGTTTCTGCTTTCCTGTAGGAGGGGAGAGAAGACAGTGGGAATGCCGTCAGTAACTGCAGTTACAGGAGGAGCCACCACAATACCTCCAAAACGCATCAAACATGCTTCACTTAGGCCACTTTCCACATAACAAATTAAACCTATAAAGGGTTAAGCACCATGAAAAAAAGAAAAGGTTTCTATTGTCCTAAAGTTATATTCACAAAGTCACATGAGTGCAGTTCAGAGGGGGGTCATAGTCTTGTCGCTGGGTTCACACTGTGGTTAGCCCCAGTCTCAGTGCGCCTGCAGTCCTCAACTGGAGGAAGAGGAGGATCATGGGATAATGTACCAGCAACTCTACGCAGTGAACTTATGCTCTATGTGGAGACATGGGAAGGCTTTAGAGTCTTATGCTATCTATGCTGCGGCGGCTCAGGAACTTTAGCAGGATTCAGGCTGGCTGGTTACTAACTGCCCTCTCCCCCTGCCTGACTTCCTCACCTGCTGAAGATATGAGTGGTCGGATAGAGGCAGAAACCTCATCCTCCACACTGGAAGAGGAGTTCCCTCCAGACTTACTGGAAAAGACAAGAGGGGATAAAAAAAGAAAAGACAGAAAAAAACAGTGGCATTAATGCAGAAATCAAATGAAAATAAAATGTGAAAAAAACCGTAATGTGGTTATTTGCAGCGAATGAAAGGAATACTAAAGGGGACAGCAGTTAAATCAGTCGCAGAGTTTCCATCCTGGTGCGCTGGGGGCACAAACACTTGTGCCTTTACTCATCTTACAGTCCTGCATGCATACATTTACAGATTCCACATCAACATATCTATCCAGCTGCAACCTGACAGGAGCTAAATGATGGCGGAAATGCTAATCAGTAGTCCAAGTCCCTTATTTCTTTATATGCTTTTCAGAGGCATGCTTATCTTCTTTTTTCCTCTTCAGAAGCCGCTGAGCTTTCCTTCCAGCATAAAAAAGGCATCTTAACTCAACAGATAAACGCTGGCTCTGCAAACTTGACATATCTCAGCACTGTGGGCCACTAGTACTTAAAAAATAGTAAATGAGCTTGTCTGAGAGGGTTCGGGCTGTGCTGAGGAGCAAAGGGACTCATACCAATAACTGACTTTTGAGCTGTGGGAACGTATTCATTGTGTTTCCACTGATGTCTCCATTTTTCCAAAAGTCCTTGTTGTGAAACTTACTGTGTAGTTTCATTCAGTGCAGAATCCATTCTGTACACAACCAGAACACTTTCAAAGTAGTCAGACTTTTTCCCTTCCTATGGTGAGGAGTGTGCTCCAGTTAGAGGGGTATGCATGTCTCTGTCTGAAAGGCTTGGTGACAAAAAGCCACAGAGGCTTCCATTTAGTGAAATGCTGAAGCACTCCAGTCTGAGAAGATTAGTATTAACCTCAACAGCAGGGCTTGAGGAGGTGCAAGTGAGTTATGGTACAAACTCTGGATGACAGAGCATTCAAGACACATTACGCACATCAGGAAACTAGTGGGGGCGATAGGTGTGCTAATTACAGCCACTGAAACCGTTTGGTACGCACCGAGTAAAGAGCTGTGAGTCATTGGCAGACATTAGTCGAAGCATATTTTGTAAAAAAAAAAAAAATCCCTGAAAGACAGCAACCAAGTCCCTGATTTCCTCAGGAAGAGTTGAGTTCCCTTTGGGTTGAGAGCACTGGCCGGCACCTCGTCTACACAGCAGTGTTACTGCACACTCAGCTGCTTTAAAAAACTCACATCTGATTGGTATTGACACAGTCTGCTCCCCAGGCCCTTATCTGAGAAACCAAATACCTAACCCGGGGCTTGGGGGGGAGGGGCCGGTCACACCCCCCACAGGTCACCACTCCATCACAGGGCCAAACGGAGACCAACATCCACACATACTCACATTCGTTCAATTGCCATTGGGAAGTAAACCAAAGCCTGAACTCTGAACACTTGCTCCCAAAAGTTGGCGTGCATTTCAATTTTCATTCAGGATGGAAAATCAAGTTCGCACAAATACACACTCACAATTAAAAACAAATCAATGTAAGCCTTAAAAATAAGATCGAAAATAAAAAATACTAATAGTAAACAAATACTGTAATTTATTAAAAAAATGTAACTTCAACTTGAATTCTGAATCCAAACTAATTTTTCAAAATTAATAAATAAGTTTATTTTTTCCTCTTCATACTAGTAAGTCTGAAGAGCAGAATTAATAATTACCTCTAAGGCTAAAATGGGATTATTTTTCATTTGACTATATCAGCTTGTGCAAAAGGCCTTTTCTCAGAGAGGATTCATTACCTCCAGTCCCCAGACAGTCATCTGATGAATAAGAATAACAAATAGTTTGAAAACTGAATTTTATCAAAAACTACTGCATTGAAAGGTATAACCAAACATGTTAGTGGCCAGTTGACTGTCCAGACAGGAAACCAAAAAGTATATTTTTGGTGGGAATTTTTCCAGGTGAGATTTTGTGAAACAAAAACGAAAAAAGCTGGTGAGATGGGAGGTTTTTTTTTTTTTTCCTGCGACTTACCCTTGGACTCGTCCTCTCTTTTGCTCCTGCTGAAGCCGGATGTTCTCGAGCTTCAGAGGGCTGGGGATGAAGCCGATCTCACAGCCCTCCTTCACCAACCGGCCGATCCACCAGTCGTTGTTGAACTTCTGCACAGATGTCCACAGAGCAGCAGGAGATCTCAGATCTCTCACCAGCAACAGACTTAACTATTCACTGCACGCTTCCACACCTCATCAGTTTTCTTTTCATCCAAAAAGACTGGAAATAAAGCGGGGGGCGCATGCTGTGGTGATCCTGTTGAACGATACGCGGCATTCGTACCTCTTTTATGTGGAGAAAGTCCTTTGCGTCAAAGGAGATGGCTGTGGCCGGCACGGGGACGTCCTCATCCAGCGCACCGCAGTAGCTGACGTTGGTCCTCACAGCGAACGCCACAGGTTTAGTCTGGAGAAAACCCGTTGGAATTATACCGGTATCAGACACATCCCAACGCGTATTTTCATTTTTGGAGTCTCGACCTACATCAAGACCTACACAAACTTTCCATGGCTCCACAAAGCCACCGACTCCGTCCTACCTTGGCTCTCTCCAGTTGAACGGCGGCCTGCTGCTCCCTTTCCTGGCGGCTCTGTCCCGGTCCCTGGCTCTGGCTTGGGCTCTGGCTCTGGACCTGGGCCTGCACCTCCCGCTCCTCCTCCAGAGATACATCTGAGTCTGATGGTCTGCTAGTGTACGAATCAGCTGAGCCCTGCAAGAATTGACATGACGGGTGTAAAATGTATAGAAGCAAAGCAGAAAGTCCACATACGAGCTTTAGACTCCGGAGCCTGAATTTTCATGGCTGCACCTTTAACCTAAATGATTTGAACTTTTAGGCACGACAAGGTAAAGAACCATTTCATGGAATCGGCTTTTGATATTTTGGGGTTTATATCATTTGCAGAGTGGAGGCTTGGCACTCTGAATGCAGAACAGGTGAAATGGATGACAGAAAAGAGCTGGCTGCCAGGAGCATCTCAGACAAAGTGGAATTTCCAGTTCTGTGCTGTCAGCATTTTGTACGACTGCACACGTATCCACTACACATCCTGGATAGTGATGACTTCAGCCCTGGTTCCCAGAAAGGGCCAGGCGGGTTTCTACCCCTCTCTGACCCGACTGAACGCCGGCTTCCCTGCTAACTCGTTCTGTGCGATACCTTACAAAGTTAGTTTGGCTCAAACACCAGCATTTCCTGTCTCCGAGCTTCTGCACGCAGTCGCCGTATTTGTTACGCTTACAAAAATTCACTCAAAATGTCTTAAGTGCATTTATTCTTTTCTTCTCCTCCGCTTCCATCTGCCATTTTAATCTGTAGGATTAACCACTAATGACGGTTCAGTGGACGGGGGGTGCCACTGGTCCTGAGAAGATCAATCGACTTCGTCATCACAGCTAAGCACTTTCTTTTAAGGCAAGCCAGCTGAAGGAAAGCCTGACTTCAGCACACTGCCCATCTGGACGGATGCAGCCCCTCGCAGGGCTGCTGAGCGCGTTTCTGCTGGTTGCTCATGATTTCTCTGCTTAATTTCAACAGCCTGCTCAGTTTACTCATGAGGAACCGGACTCAGCACGTGAGCACAGCAGGAGCTCTGACTTTGGAGCTTTTGTCCGGGTGTGGGAGTAGCAGATTTAGAAATGAGAGCCTCTGCTTCATTTGAAGGGCGTGGAAAGGCATGGCCACATCTCTGATGACATTATTAGGCTTAGAAAGGCAAAAATATACCAACTATAAACGTTTGGACCTTTTCAGGACGCGGAACCAGTGTAAATGCAGCCCCTGGAATGGGATTGTTCTCGGCAGCGTTTTTCCAACACTTTGCATCACCTGCGATGCATCGTGTCACGAATCTGTGAGGAAGATCTGAGGGTTCACTGTAGCATCCCAGCTATTACCCAATGGAACAGCTTCAGCATGTGACTCATCAACATCAGTATCCACTTAATGACATCACGATGCATGTTCCTCCCAGCCTGGTCCCCGCCGTGCAGTCGCCCCGCCAGAGGAAGAACACCCTGCTGGAGATGGCTGGGAAGGTGACAAATCCCCAAACGTGACACATGCTTTGCCATTTTAGCCTTAAGGGGAGGGAGGGGGGGTATTTACATCTGTCAATTCCAAAGCTTGGCTCTTCTCTGTGCGGAACAGACTGTGATGAACAATAAACGGCTCCTCCTGGCGCTGGTGGCTCTCCTGACGTCCCATCTTTCCCATCACGGTCACATTTACAGCACACATGACGCCCACACACGCAGATGGGGGGGAAAAGATGCTTCAAAAATGGTCACACATCGGAGGCCGCCTGCCTAATGTGCACCCCCGCTCTTCACACGCCCACCCAACCCCCTTCCAGCCAAGCAGCCTCCCATCACGCTACACTGTACCGTTGGCTAACCCATCAAAGGCCTCTTACGTGTGCATGTGTGTGTGTGTGTGTGTGCAGTGAGCTTCTTCCATCAATAAACAAGTCGGCAGAAAGCGAGCACGAAGGCAGATTCACACGCACACAATCAAACACTCACCGCCTCCGAGTCTTCAAATCCATGCAGGTACAAATTGTCATACATGGAGGTTTGATATTCCAACGAGCGCCTCTAGAAGAATGAGGGGGAAAAAAGAGTGGAGGCGGAGGAGGAGAAAGGAGGGGGCACCAGAGAGAAAAAAGGGATGGACGGGGAGGATGACGACAATCCTTTCTCTCCACGGCAGAGAAGAATAATTTAAAAAATATCTCCTCTCCCGCTGGATCCCGCCTGGTTCTCTGGAGGCGCGTCGCTAGACGGATGCAGCGTCTCCCTGATCCTGGAGTGCTGCGGGCTGCCTCACATTATAGAACGGAGATGCTCTCCCTGGAGGTGGCCCTATCCTGGTAATTCATTTTTATCAGGCTTCCACGCACACAAAACCCACACAGACAGAGAGCAGCAGAGGCAGCAGCAGCAGCACAGCAGCGGATCCTTCCTCAATATCCAAGCCTGATGACACAGCCAGTGTGCACGCAGCTGATTGGCTAGCTGGCTGTCCACTCAGCCTGGATGAGCGCTCAGTTTTTTTCTTTTTTCAGCGCAGTGAGGTAGAAGGAGTCAGAGGAGGGGGATGAAGGGAGCAGCACCCTTTCATCCTCAATCTGCTAATCAATTCTCCATAGAGCACAAAATATTGCATTCGTTTCTAATAATTAAACAAAAGAATGTGGGGATTTGATTCAAATAGTCAAGGGAGAGGTATTTAGAACCCTCAAGAGAATCACATTTATTGACAAAATTTGGTGAGAGCAGAACCCTGAGCTGTCAAACAAAGCGACTTTGAGGAAGGACAGGTTCTGGTGCGCACATTTAATTCCAAAAATGTTCATTATCGCTGATACACATCAGATTACAGGACAGTGCAAATAATAAAAACTGTTCTTTTCTGTGTTTGAGATTTCATTTGGCAGAGTAGTGGATGATGGGCTCACAGAAAAAAACAAAGATTGAATGGTTATAACAACTGGAACGATGTGCCAGGCAGATCTTTTGGATTCAAAAAATAAAATAGGAATATTCTTTAGAGACCACAAATCAAGCATTAAATTATTCAAAATTTGTTTTCTTTACAGGCTCTTTTTGGGAAAAGCCCTGATTGTGCAGATGGAGGAGTTTGCGGAGCCTGGTCTCTCTTGTTATTGTCGCCCCCTGCAGTCTGACGGGACGCGGCCTGGCCACACCACCAGCAGCTGTGGGACTGCAAAGTCGGTCATCAGACTCCGGCTCTGCAGCACCAGCGCAGCCACAGACTCCACAAGGACTGGAGAAACATCCCCCCATTTGGCTCTGAAGAGCCCTCTCCCCGCATGCTGCAAACTGCCGCCGAGCATAATCCTGAGAGCCCAGCCTACGAAGTTCCTCATTTAGACATAGAACAAACCCCTCTAAGGAGAAATAGGCCAGAGTGAGAGATTGCCGTTTCCCCCTTTAGTCGAGAATTTCCAGTGATTGAAAGAGCTTTGTTTGGAGCAGGAGCGCTGCGGCCGGCCTCGGCCCGCCTCACCCGCAGCCTTCTATTTTTACATTCCAGGTCTTCCCTGGTTGCTGAGTACCTGTCTGAGGATGAAGCTGGTGGAGGTGGTGCTTCCATCCGACCTCTTGAGACGGCTCCTCCGGGAATAAGTGCCTCTGTTCACCTTTGTGAAAAAACAGAGAAAGCCAGCATGGACAGGAGTTGTGCCACCAGGTGGGAGCGTTGCAGCAGCAGCAGGGCGGCGCTCTGCTTCTGAGCCGCTCAGGGGCCCGCTTCACAGGCCCAGAGCCAGCCCACTGCTGCCAGCGCCGCCCGCCCCACACGTGCACAGACAGGACCATCAATTCCGCATCTTACATTTGTCTTGCCAACTTTTCTTCTTACCTCTGGACATTGTTTCTCTCTCTCTCTCCCTTAAAAATAATCTAAATAGACCAACATAGCTCTTCTCTGGGGAACCAAATTAATTATCTGGCAGTGATTTGCCCCATTTCTGTTCAAGTCTCCAGAGTTAATGACAATGTCACTGTTAAAAAGTCAGAGCCTACTTCCCTGAATTGATGAAACAGGGCCACTAATCTGGGTCGCCGTCTCTCCTCTGCAGCTCAAGTGAAACAAGCAGAACAAAAAGCCAAGAAGTGATAGGAAAGATGGTATCTATTTATATCATGAAGTTAACACAGAAACACTACCCTCTTCTGAATAATCACAAAGAAAAATAATTAATCTGCTCTAATGCAAGAGCTGATGATCTCATTTCACCATCTATACAGAAAACCTAGCTGCAGTCTGTTCATTCTAACACAAAACAGCCACGTTTGACAGGAACAAAGTGAGTAAGCTACAGAGGAAAAAAGTCAGACTATGTAACCAGTTAATGAGAAAGTAAACACAAAGAAATGAGGCAGGAATTCTAAGTACAACAAGACTTTAAATTCAAGGATTACTTGTCATACTGCATCTATCTTGACTATTATAGACAGGATAAATATTCAAATACCAATACTAGTAGATTTTTACATTTCTGTATCTCTTCCACTTTTGGAAAACTAAATCAGAAAAACGTCAGGAAAGTGCCTTTTTTGACTTAGGTAATTTGATTGAGGACAAAAATTGGACTTTTCATATTTTTGATTTTAGATATCTCCTTTTTTCAAAGTAGACCAGTGTAATACGCCATTATTATTAATCATAATAATAATGATAATAATTTGTGTCCATGATAACATTGTGTTATGAGTTATTCAATTGACTCCTGTTTTTTTCCTAAATAGAAAAACAACATTTCCAACTAAAACTGTAGTGATAACTTTAATAGCTGCTGTTGGCTACAGATGACACACTTGATTTACCCAAAACAAATATATATAAATACATTTGTACACATATAGATATATAGAAACTGTTGCATCCTTTCCTTAAAAACAGCCCTTTCCTCTCCTTATCTGGTCTCAGAGGTTTCCTCTGAGTTGCCTGACCCACCTGAAAGATGGGCGCCTGGATGCCCTCGCCTATCTTGTTCCGTATGTAGATGTGGCGGGACATTTCGGCCAGGACATCGGTCCAGAGAGCGGGCTGCTCGGGTCCAGCCCAGCGGAGGGGTGGCGGGTTCCGGGCTGCGTGCTCCAGCTTCACACCACACGGGAGAACATGAGCGCTTCCGGTCCGGTCTGCCTTGCTCTCAGCTGTCCGCCGCGAGACAGACAGGCGCTCCCGCGTGCTCGTGGTGCGCGCGCAGGCTGCCGGCGGAGCTGCTCAGAACCAGCTGCGCCGCGACAATGGGCCGAACTATTTTAGAAACAGAGGGGGGGGGGGGGGGGCGCCCTGTGAGGCCCTCCAGGTGGCTAATTAAGACCCAACAGCGGGCTATTTTAGGCCCGAACCGGCAACTACAGGAAATAGAGCTGGAGGTTTTGGCTGCAAAAGGAAAGCTTTTAAAAATGTTTTGGACGTGTCATATCCAGCTGGAACAGCCAGTGGACACGTCCATAAGGATTTTATCATCTTAGGACAGGGGTGGGCAACTCCAGGCCTCTAGAGCCGCTGTCCTGTAGGTTTTAGAGGTGCCCCTGCATATACACACTTGATTTTCATCTACACACCAGCAGTCCTGGTCAGAGCGAATCATCTTTAGAAAATATCAGTTTTATCTGGATCAGGTGTGTAGCAGCAGGGAAACCTCTAAAACCTGCAGGACAGTGGCTCTGGAGGCCTGGAGTTGCCCACCCCTGTCTTAGGACATTGTCCAAAGAGTAATTGCAGCAGCCCTGTTGAATTAATATTGCCCAATGAGTTTTAAAAAATCAAATATGAATTCAATGCTTAGCGTCATTTTTTCTTTTCCATTGTGTTTTTTAATGTTTGGGGCTGGTCCAAGTAAAAGGACTCCCCTGGCCCACACGTTTACACGGCAAATATAATCAAATGTAAATCTGCCTCAATTGTGCATGGTTGCAAAAAACTATTTGAAATTGTTCCTACTCAAAGACATCCAACGTATTCCAGGTGCTCAGGAGGCCATGGTTAAGATAAAGGTGTCTTTCAGTAGGGCTGTGTTGTGTTGCTTCGCCCAGCAGATGGCACTATTACCAAAAAAGATGCATCAGAGCTGACAGGATTCATTGGACCCAAAGAAGTCGAAAGAGGTTCAAAGGGCTTTCAGTTTCTGTTGAAAACATGTATTTTTCTTTCAATGGAGATATCCCAAATATGTTAATACAAATGTCACAAAATGTATCCTCCAAATCAATGGAAACTGAATTTTGGTGTCTAAGTTCAGAAATCTTCTGCAAGATTTGCAGGGAGGCTGACACCTGTCCCATACTGCTGTTCAGGAGGCTGGAGACTTCCTTCATGAACAGAGATACACACTCATGCTTTGTGGAAAATAATATAGAATATGCACAAAGTCAAAGTCGATGACAAGACTTTTGTTTGTTGTCAGGCTGCAGTTTGCTGTATCAGGATGAAGCCCTGATGATGGGTTTTACAGTCAGTCCCATGGAAGCTGGATTAGTTTTGTGCAGCAAAGGTACATTATATCATAGTTTATTTTAGTTTTAAAGGTCTTTCAATCACTGTGGAAAGTTGACTGGTTGACTGGTTTGGGGGCTCCTTACGTGACCTACATCAAAGACGTATCAGAGGACCTAAAATACATTTATAGTCACCACACTTTAAATATCCATGTTTTCATTCATTAATCAAGAAAAAAATGCCATAGACAAACCACTCTGCAGTTCAACATTACATGAATCCATTAGGAAAACTCCGCTGATGTAAACATCCTGCTCCACTTACACGGATGACAAAGGGAAGCAGAAACCTTATTTTTGGCTCCGACAAAGGAACGGTGGGATGTACGGTGTCCCAGAGGCTCTCTGTGTTTAAGCATTTTCAGCACATTGCTGAACGAATGAAAAGCAGCCAGTTTGTGTCGCAGACTTATGTCTGCACATGTTCAGCCAGACTTTGATCAGACAAAGCTTCTAACAAGCGAATGTGGTGGATTACGCAACTTTGAACTGGAAGGATTAAGTTGACTGGTCAGCTCCCTTCATGACCTCATTCAGTGATATGAGCTGTGACACACGGGAACATGATCTACAAAAAGCTTTGGAACTGACTAGGTGGAACAGAGATGTGAGGTGTAATTAATTTAGTTCAAAAGAAAAAGAAATAAGTCTGGCAGTAGTGTTTGAATAAAGAAAAAGACGGGTGAGGTTTGGCCATTGTTTTTTCACCACATCAGAAACGTAAAAAAGGAAAAAACAAGAATTTCTTTGGGATAACATAGAGACCATCACAGCAAGGAATCTAAAAAAATCAGAGGATAGGTGTGCAAGCAGTGAATGAAACCATCTTCAGGAATGTTTTCCTCTTCAATATTTATGGCCTTCATGCTCTAGTAAGAAATTCTCATTAATAATTCAATTAATAAGGTGCACAAGGGTTGTCTATTTTGCCAGGCCAGTGTTTTTACCCTCAGATTAGACAAGTCAGACAGCAAAGCGCTGCTGCTCACTGGGGTGTGAACAATAAAAAAAAAGCCCTGTCTCCCGTTTGAAGCAAGGATGCGAGAATGAAACCGTTTGGGAGGAACCAGCTGGTCTCACAATAGAAAGAGTGGAATTCAAATTCAAACACATTCTTTATGAACTAAAGCCCTTTCAAAGGAATATAGACTAGAAAAGGTATGTATATTTCAGGGAACACACAATGTTAAACGTTATTCCACAAATGAATAGGCAGAAACAGCTCACATGTATGAAAGTGTGAGAAGCAGACAGTTGTGGTTTGGGACCAAATTTGAGTGAATTTTCAATCAGAGTTGCACCAGAAGTCACAGCTGCACACGTTCTCAGTGTCAGCAGTAAGAGTTTTTCTCCAGGAACTGCATGGACCAAACGGAAAGTCGGCTGTGTGTCCATGGCAGCATGATGGGGCTCAGAGGTGGAGGCCGCTCTGCTCAACCCCTCACCAGACCACAGGAAAACTCAAACAGGATTAAAGTCTAGAACCCAGCTTCCCAGCCCCTTTTATCTCAAAGTACAATAATCCCACTGGCTGTAAAAGGCCAAAGTTGATTAAACGGCAGCCCCGCCTGAAGCCCTGAATTCCTCCCGGCCTTACTGCATCCCTTTCTGTGTGAAGGCCACCTGACATGCAGCGCGCTGGTCCACCTTCCTCCTGAGTGTGCTGACACGGGCTCCAAGGTGAGTTCACTCATCCACAGGTAGGCCCCCCGTTTTCTGGAGCTTCTGTTGCTTCTATAATTCAGAAGTTAGGTGCTTTTAACCTGCAGGGACAAAAAATAGAAGCACAATCGCCGTGGAGTAAAGTACAAAAACAACAGCAGTGTCCACCTGCATGCCTCTCCTCCACCATGCAACCTAAATGATTTAAGACTAAGCCTGAGGGAAGAGGAAGGAGTTAAGTCACTAAAAGACGTGCACGGTATGACCTGTATCCTTGTGCTCATCCATTCATCCGACCATCAGATAGACTCTTTATTTTCTGAAGCACTGGAGCTGCGGGGGCTGCAGCTGGCTCTCTTTCGAACAGAAAGGCGACACCAGTACCTATGAAACCCCACAAATGTAAGTATGGACGGATAAAAAAACGCTTTGAAAGGTTTGAATCCAGAACTATTTTTATTGGTGAAGCCATGAAAGAGAACTTTGATGATGATTTGTTTCTCGTCATCTGGCTCTGAGCGGTCCACGTCCAGCCTGCAGCTCCGGAGCTTCTGGCCTCGTGCCTCCACTGCAGCACCTCAAGTTCATTAATGAACATTTATGACTGCATAAAAAGCCCAGTATGAGGAGACAGGGTGGTCATTCTGGACAACAGCGGACAAAGCTGAGTGAAAGCAGATTTTGCCAGATTTTTTAAAACCCAATTTTGAAAGGAAATACATCAAGCAAAGTTACTCTAAAGTTGAATCGGCAATTAAATGAGAAGTCAAATAGCTAATGACATGGGTTCTTGTGGTTTAAAAATAAGAAAGCTTCCAGAAACAGAAACCCAAATATTGGCTTCAAAATTGATTTATTCATCTTGATTTTTTTTTCACAGTGTACTTTGTACAAAAATATAGAGTACCAAAAGTTTACAGTGTGGAAAAGGCAGTGTTCAGTCAAATTCATATCAAGCAAGTCTGTGTGTGTTTTTTTTTTTTTTTGGGGGGAGCAAGACAAGTCGATATAGAGATTCTTGGACAAACTTGGATTAAATAATCTATACGTGTAGAAAATTGCACCAAGCAACATTTTCTGTTCACATAGACGGCACGTACTTTGAGTACTTCCAATGTACTGATCAATGTCCTGATCAAATACAAACAAATGTAGTGTATTGCTACAGTTCGCAGAAATATAGTCACAAGCGTGGGAGCATGCAGTATTCGTACACAAGAGCTCAAACGGAAACACACACTGCTATTTACACCAGATTTGTTTTTTATGCTGCATGACATGGAAATAATTGTGGAAAACAGCTAAAATTACATTTCCTCGTTCATACGAAAAAAACGAACACGATTTTCTCATTTAAATATTCACATATTTTTCGAATAGCAAAAATGAAAATAAAAAAAAATCTGTTTAGTTTTGCCTATGGAACACAGTTCCGTCAGGCTTTGATGAACTTGTCATATTCAAGTTGTTGAACATTGTTGAACACTCCAGAGTTTTAGACTTTTTAATGCAGTAGGATGTGTTGTTCTGCTTTATTCTTGGGATTCCATAATTTCTTAGGAAGAAAAAAACATTATTTGGCATGAAGATAAAATAAAAGCATCCAATGGTTTCATTTCCAGCCCATTTGTTTCATTTAAAAACCCGATGGTTTGCTGAAAGTGCAACAACAAACTTTGTGAATATTCAGTACAGATGGTTTTCATTTTTTATTTCTTTGATTTTTTAAGAAACACCAAACCAATACTGATTCATCCTATAACAAATACCCCACAACAGCTCTTCCTTTTAAGGTTTTCAGTTGTGATTCCTCAGCTGTTTCTACAGCCCTCTGAAAGGAAGCATGATGGGTGATATCGAATGGTCAAAATAATTCAAAAGCAAGCTTTGAATTAATGTCTCGGTCTACAGCTTTCAAAACGGGTCTCAACACAACTGAAGCATCTGAACCTTTGTGAGAGAGGCAGGGCTGTTTTGCTCCAAATAGACCAGCAACTGAGGGATCACCCTCCAAAAAATAAGGAAAAATGTATGAATTGGCTTTTTTTTTTTAAAACATCTTTAAATCAGACCTGCATGTTCTCAGGCTCAGGTGAGAAACGTGGAGCAGCCTCAAAAAAAGAATTCATTTTGTGATTTTGACATAACAGGTTTGAGAAAACAAAACCACATGTTTTTCTATAATAAAGAACATGTTCAGCATGTTTAAGAATAATAAAAAAAAAGATAACATTGATCTCATTGGTACAGAACACCAGCTACAGATAAAAGTCTTTGACATTTCCAGCTTTTGGACAGCTGCTGTCATCATTTGTAGACAGAGTCTGAATTCATTTGAAAAATCTGCAGAATAAAATATACAGTACACGTGACTGGACTGAATTTGGTGATTTCTAAATTCTAATTTTGGTGAGCGGCTCAGCTGTCCATACATTTCAAAGATGATTCAGCAGCTAAAGATACTAATATGACATCTATGAAAATGGAAATTCAGCGAACAACTTTAAAAACACACAGTACAAGTGAGGCATGTCGGAAACTGCCTTCCTCAGTGACTTTGTGATAGCTTAACAAGAGATTTAAAGCAAGTATGTCATAGATACTTTCATTTCTTCATTCCCTTAAGCATTTCTTACTCTTCTTATGGAAAACAATCTACAGGATGAGTGAGTTTCCTGAACTCTTTATGAAGTCCCAATAAGTGGTTTCCAGTTTGCCAAATGCGGTCTATCCAGCTATGTACAATGTCCTCAGTCTCACTGAGGCCCTGAAGGTTTGAGTCCTGCCTTTGCACAGTCCTGAACACACAGAGCACCTCGGAGTGTGTGAACAAAGAGGAAGGTGCAGAACAAACGTCCTCTTTGGGAGGTGAGGGCTGCTGAACTCCTGTGTGCTGGTGGATAACCACACACACACACCCACAACAGTGATTAGCTTGTTGTCTGTACCAGTGTAGCAGTCTTTTCCTCCTCCGCTTTAAACAACATAATAAGATCTTTATTTTAAACGGTTGTTAACCTTTCCCCTGATCCGCAGAATGTTCCGCTTTCAGAGTCAAAATGGGAGATTCTTGCTGACGATATTTTAAATTTTAGATATTTTTCCTAAGTGCTCTGACGTTTTAAATGCCAGTGAAGGATTCCCTAAATCTGAAACCAGTTATTTAGCAGCTCCTTGGAGAACAAAATCCACATGTTGTGAGAAAGAACTTTAGTTTGACACACAACACATACCTGGAAGTTTGGAGCAACTTCCATAAAACGTAAAATTTCCCCTCAGCTGTTTGCTTCAAGTGTGTCTTCATAAAACTTCAGTTACTGAAAAACAGGTGTGGCCTCTGCTGTTTTTGTTTTTGTGAGCAAATGAAAATTGAGATGCTCTTGTCAAAAAAAGAAGGAAAAACTCATCTGAATAACTCCCGTTTTGGGTGAACTGAGCTGAATTCACTCTGACCAACCTAAAAATTTGACTGTTAAATCTGAATTATTTTGGTGTTTAGTTCCAAAAGCCTTTTCTGTGCTGAATGAGAAAAGAGGTTCAGCCCATCTCAGCTGTGCATGAAGGTCCTGCAGGGGGACTCACTGTGGAAGTCATACTTGCTGACACAGGGAGGGTAGTAGGTGGTGGCGAACATGTTGCTGGACGGCAGCGGGGAGGAGAAATGGTTGCACGTCTCATCGTTCACGTGAAGGTTGTTTTTGTTCAGCGTCTGCAGAGCAGTGAAATGTTTGAAGAATAAAACACACTTTTGGATAAGGAACCACAAGCTTTCAGAATCTGGAGGCGCGGCGCAGCGGCCCACCTTAAACTCCATGGGGATGTACTTCTCGTTCTTTGGCGTGGCCTTGCCCGGCTTGTTGTAAGTGAGGTGGTTGGGCGTGCTGGGGTGGATCACGGCCGACTCCGCCGATGGTCGGTTCAGGTGGTGGCAGTATGAAAAAGCCAGTCCCGACAGGAGGGCTGCAGCAAAGAAGCTGGCTGAGCCCACAGCAACCAGCTGGAACAAAGTAAAGGCTGCAGACAGAGAGACATCCATCCTGAGACAAACAAACGGAACAGTTGGACAACATTTTTTAACAAGTTTTTTTCTAAAGTCTCTACATAATATATAATTTTGTTGTGTTTGGTCTTTAGTCAATGCCCATGTTATAACATGTATAGCTGTCCTCTTACAACTTTGTCACTTTAAAGATTGAAAGTTTGAAGTTAAAAAGGCAAAAGGGGGACATTTTAATTCTTAAGACCTAAATAACCTTTAGAAGAGGTCCAGATCAAATATGGATTATATCGCAAACACAGTTGAGCTGCATTCTACTTCTAATTTCTCATCTGGCATCTGGACTACTTTAGAGTGGATCCAGTTCAAAAACCACAACGCAGCGCATTCAAACTGTGCAGGCATTTAACAGTGAAAAAAAAGGGATAAAATGGCTAGAAGTAGTGAGGTTTGTCCTCTGGGGACCATGAGTTGTAATGTGTCTTTAGAGTCCCTCTAAAGGAAGTGAAACGATTCTCTTGTGGGTTTGTTGAATATGTGTATCATAAATAGTTGATGGTCACAACAGCCCAGAGCTGGGTCAGCCTCTGGATACACTGAGGTAATGCATGACATCCATTTGGTTTTGGTACTACAGTGTCCACAGTAAATGGGAATCCTGGACACTCTAAAGGAGTGAGTTTTGACTTCTTGTTATCACCCTGACGCGGGGCAGAAAGAAAGAAAGACTCATCAATGATTAGGTCAGCTCTTGGATGCATTCAGAACGGCCATGTGACGCTGTCATATAGTCAGATGGACGCTGGAGTGAAGGGGGACAGAGACACAGCCCTGGAAACAATAAAAAAACAAAAAAAAGAACATATCACCATTTACTTACTTCCACAGCTCTGCTCCTCTTGTCCAGGTAAAATGACTGAAAAAAAGAGAGACCAACTGAAGTCTTCAAATTATCAAAAGGATCAAACTGGAATAACAAGTGCAGTGGTTTTCGCTCTCAGTTTTTGAGGAGAGTTTAATGAATGAGTCTTTTTCATTTCCAGAAATATGGAGGGAAAAGCAGCTGTCCCCGCTGATGGAGACAGGCGCAGGTTTACCTGGCACCTCATGGGGCTGGCATGGTCTGGACTGAGTGACGTTGCCCTGACAGAGGCTGACTTCAGTCTCCTGGTCCTCCCCACATTGCCGTGTGCGATGCTGCAGGCCCTCTTCGTCACAGTCCCCCCAGACAGTCCACTCACCTCGACCTCCCAAAGAGGAAAGAGTGCATGGAAATGATCAAATATGTGGCCATACTGTGAAAGGAAGCATCTGCATCTAGGAAGAAGGCTTTTTTTTAAACTCAACACTGAGCCACAAACTCAAGATCTTTTCCTGATCTGAATCAATAAATAACAATAACTGTCTATTAAGAAAGTTAAAATTCATATATTTGCTGATTTATGTTTCTGTGCAGTTCTTATGTTTATTTCTGTAGCATCAGTGTCCTGTTTCCCATGATTCATAAATATCTCTACATCAAAAGGAAAGTTTTAATCGGTTTATCGCAGCAAACCTAATTTGCATCAGCTGTTCAGGAAAGGGGTGTGTAGCTTTCACATCAGTTTCCATGTAAGCACAATTATTTGGTCTATATCTAACAATAATGACAAACGAATATCCATCCATCCATCAATTTTCTGAACTGCATATTCCCAAAATGGGGCTGTGGGGGGCAGAGCCTAAAAAATGAATATGATTCCATTCAATATTCTCCCAGGAAGACTTAGCAGGTGGAGCACCTGCACATGAAGAGGAGCCAATAGGCAAAATGTTGCTGAAGAATGAGGAGTATTAAAAAAAGAAATAAATAAGAATAAAAAAACATACTGTACATCTAGTATCGATGGACCTGACATCTACAAATCCTGTCATACCATCACAGGTGTGTGTGTTACAGAGAGCCTCTTCAGTATGCAGGCCCACACAGATGTCTCCTCCGTTTGAAGGGGGGGGGCTGCTGCATGTCCGGGTCCGCTGGTAGAGCCCGCCTCCACAGCTGGAGGAACACAGGGACCAGGAGGACCAGCACGACCAGGCTCCCCTCACTGCAAAGCACTTTGACAGTGAGCACGCTGCCCGTCCCGGCTGGGGGGGTCAGAGCTGCCCTTTTACCTGAGCAGGGCTGCGTGTTGCAGTCCTGGTACTCCACAGGCGACCCTACACATGCACCCAGGTTGTTCCGGCCGTCTGGCGTAGAGCAGCTGCGTTTACGTGTTCGGAAGCCCCCGGAACACTGCTGGGAACAGCTGGACCACGTTTCCCATGATCCCCATCGGGCACCTTGGGGTTGAGGCAGAGTTCGGCCACTAGGTTTGACCAAATCTTCGACCAAAGCTGGGAAAACAAAGAAAGCCCTTTATCATTCATTTCGGACCATTTTTCCAAAGCTGAAGTGTTTGCGGTCAATATTAAAGTTGACCTAAATGTCCAAAATATTTCTCTGAATTAGTTCATCTAAAAACCAGAGTGGTATCTTTCTTTCTTTTGGCTGTGAGAGTGCTATGAAACATTAATGAGTGAAGTGCGAGGTGGGTCAAGATGAAAAATGAACTAGATTTCCTTGAGCAACCCTACACACACAAACATACTCATGCGCCCAGGATCAGCAATGATTTACATATGAATCAGGAACACCTCCCCAGGCTTTCAAATAAGACGATCAGAACGGCCACATTTACCCCATCACTTTTAAGAGTCACTGATGGGAAACTTTAAGTCAGTGAAGTGTGCATCTGTGTCCTGGCGATGCTTAATCCTTGAGGTGGTTGATGTTCACAAAAACCAGGAGAAGTTTCACAAACAGAGCGGTTCAAAGAGCAGACAGTTAAAGATACGGACCAGTGAGATTAAAAAAATCATTCAAAACATTTATTGAAATCTGATCTGAGCATCATTGTGCATTCAACTATCTGACAGGTGGTGGAAACCAGAACAATTCCAAAGCATTTTATTTCTCCCAACTCACTGTCAGTATGGCAAGATCCAGAGCCGTCACTGGGGCAGAAACGGGTCTCCAGCTTCTTCTTGCTCAGCTGGAGCTGCTGGGGGTCATGCAGCAGAGCTCGGCAGGTGTACCTGAACCTCTGTTCTTGTCTTGACCCATCATGACTGCCATTGACTGGCATCCAGGGGGTCCAGGGCGTGTTGCGCCGAACCTCTGGGCAAGCCGCAAGGTTACAGGGCTTGTACTCCTGGAGAAGAGGATTGAGTGAGCTCCTCAAAATTCATTTTAGAGACACGCTAGCCTCATAGAACAAACTAAACAGCAAAAATAAGAAAAGTTACTCTGAAATCGTTTCATTAAGTCATTCATTCATTTCTATTGAAACCATTATAATACCGTTACACATCCTGGACAACTGTTCCCATTCTCGCAGCTCCTGGTCCTGGCGTGGACCCCTCCACCACAGTCTGCACTGCAGTGAGCCCAGGGGCCCCACGCTGTCCACAGCACGGGCAGGGGACATGGCTTCTTCTCGTTACACAGCCTGGAAGGAGGAAACAGCTCATAGCTCCTCAAAAATCAAACAAATTCTTGTCTCCTTGGAAAACCACACTCCTCCTCACCTTTCCTCTCGACCCTGGCCGACGCAGATTCGACCACCGTGACGGGGCGCGGGGTTGTTGCAGGACCGCTGCCTCACCTCAAATCCGATTCCACAACTGCTGCTGCACTGACCCCAGGAAGACCAGGGAGTCCAGCCACCGTTCCTAGGACACAGGGTCAGACGGGAAACGTACTTGCCATGTGACACGGGCTAACATGACGGATCCGGCAGTATTACAAAGTCAGCAATTTGCTTTAAAAGTTTCTGCGAGATGTTTCTCAATGGCCAAACTGACTTCCTATCCAAATTCCCCAGCTTTAATGAGTTAATCGTGCAATGTTTTGGGTCAAAAATCTGCTATGAAATGCTGAGAATCAGCAGCTTTGGCTGGTTTCTTAGATCAGTCTGGTTGTAGTTGAATCCATTGTGAATGTATGCAGAAAAACTGGTGCACCTGGAGCAATTTGCCACTTGGATGGTCGGCCCTTTGCAGTCAACCCCACCGCATCTCGCCTTTGGTCCGTCGCAGGAGCGCGATCGGCACATGCAGCTGCTAAAAAAGCCCTCACCATCATCATGGTTACAAGGTTGCCATGGTGCCCATGGGCTGAAAGCACCATCCTGAGTCAAGTTCCTCACCTTCAAAGAGGATTTGAGAGATTACACGACAAACGCACGTGTTACCGAGCACAAAAATCTGATTATTAGACATTATTGGCTCTTACTGGGCATTCAGTGATGTTTTGGATCCACTGGTTCATGTTGGAGCTCTCCTCGATGGTGGTGCAGCGCTTCTGTTTGTAATCCCAGCCACAGTAAGGGTCCCGAGCCTCCATGCAGACACTGATGCCCAAAAAAAGACAGCAGCAGTGGAATTGACTGAGTTATATTCAGAGTTATATTCAACTTGTTCAATTTGTGGTCTTGGACATCAGTGTGGTCTTTTGTGTTGTTTTTATATAAAAAACTTGATAGAGCGATGGAGCATATGGTTAAAAACTTAATGTTTCTGATTATTAAATATTTGAAAGATTGTTATTTCTTGGAGTGCATCTTTTATTGAAAATGTATTTATTAATTAATATTTGGTTCAACTGTATGAAATTATAGCCCAACAGTTAAAGGTTTGGCTCAAATGAGGCTTTTAACTAAATCAACTTTGTTGTCTGTTTAGTTTCTTTTGGACACATACGTGCATTTTTAAATTTGTTTATCTGAATTTATTCATCAGTTTAATACTTTAAGATGAGGCAGTGCATTACATTAATTCTAAGATTGCAGCATTGTAATTGGCTTCACGTCGCCTGCCTTGTGTTGGTCCTGCCTCTGTCCATTACATGGCTGGGTCACTGTTGGTCTTACTGTTCGTTTGGATAGCTGGAGCAGCGCTCTAATGGGATCTTCACCAGTCGGTCACTGAGCCCCACAAACAGAGATCTGTCATTGTGAAGGATTTGCAGGCTCTTTATGGGTCCCATTTCCCCCTCAGGGAGGATTCGGAGCTCCTCTAGGTAGCAGCCATGAAGGCTTTTGTTGGTTGTGGCAAGTGCCTTCAGAATGGTGCCATATTCTAACAGGAAAGGAAGAAAAGCAGAAAACTTGCTGATGAATGCCTGATATAAAAAGCTGAAAATTGAGATCCGCTCTAGGTCTCTCTCACCAGTGCCGATGTACATGACATGGTAGAGAGTGTCTCGACCCTGCACAATGTCCACCACCAGCTTGGAAAAGCGCACGTTGTCCTGGGTGAGCAGAGGATTGATGGTGAGCGGCTGGACCACGTTGCTCATGAGGAAGAGACGCTGGGCGTCTTGGAGATTTCTCTCAGTCAGGTTTCCCCCGGGGCCATCCTCCTCCAGAGTGCCACACTGGAGAGTTAAGGGATAGATTCATCAGGTACCGTACAGACTTCAGTTTGGATTCTAAATCTTAAGGTCTCCTTTGTTTTTTGAACAGCCCAGTCAGGTGGTTTCACAGATTACATTTGTTGTATAAAGTTTGATTGTTTACACTCTTACATGCAGCTGTGTTTTCTGCATGTTCTGTGGATTATCTTCTAGTTTTCTAAAAATAAAAAAAAAATCACAATATCTGGCAGGACTGAACTCAACCAAAGGGCAGGGGACCAATATTATTGTCCAGGAGAATGTATTTTGGGTTTGAATAAAGAATATGTCATGAAAAGTACATCCTGTAAAATATTTAAATAGCCTACATAGCCCTAAATTGCTTAAATAGTCTTTCTAGAATATGCAACACAATTTTTGTATGAGTTCCAGATGACAAAGACGAACACAGAACATAAAAAACACTTTGAAATAAAACCTTTGTTTTAGTTTGTGAGTTACCTGAAAATTGGGTATCGGGTTTGGGGTGGAGAGCCAAGCAGTGCGGGGGTTCTCCTGGTAGCGAAAGGGTCCGTTGAAAGCCAGGGTGACGGAGCTCAGATTGAAGGCGCACACAGCAGAAGCTGAAATACTGTTCCTAGAGGAGTAGGAGAGTTCAATACCATTCAGAATGACCGAAAAGTAGAAAAAGAAAAATCCATCCTTCAACAGGCTCATGTGGAAAGGTACTCACACATTAGTGGTAAAGATGCCGTAAATCAGGTCTTGCTCTGGTAAGTAGAAGGTGCTCTGCAGCTCGTTGAAGTAAAAGGGGATCTCTCCGGACCGTGAGCAGTTGAGGCGGGCCTTCATGAAGGTGGTCCAGGTGTCCTCCAAAAGAAAGCGTCCACCCACGTCATTCTTACAGACCCGTGCCACCCGAGAGAACACCATCTTACCACAGTCGTTTTCAACGGCCGTTTCTCTCAGGAAGAAGTAGGCAAACCGGCCGATCTCATAAGCGGACACAAAGTGAGGCTCTGGGGGGCCGGAGAACGGAGAGGAGAGGGAGAAATGGGTGTCAGAGGCATGGCCGGAAACACAGCTGAGGAACAGAAAAAACTGGTGTGGGGCTTCATGAACCGTTGAGCCATTTGGAGTTGTACTGGGCCGTGCGCAGGGGGGGGCATGTTCCCCAGGCTCCTGTATATGACCGGGTCCCGTCCAGAGAAATCGATCACAGTGGCGGCGTACAGCTCCCCCCTCTGCGTCACCATGGCCGTGGAGTTGTGGCGCGGGTCATACGGACATCGGGCAACTCCGTTCACTGTGTCCAACACCTGGCTGATGTTAGAAATCTGACAGAAACAACAAGACTTCATTCAACATCTCACTCCTGGTACTGAATCATGTTTAAATCAGATTTCCGGGCTGAAACAATACGACTGGAAACAGAACCTGGAGGTACCAACCTGCCTGCTTATGCAGACGGGGGAGAACGCGTTGGTCCCACAGGTGAACAGTGTCCTCCCGCTTACCAACAAAACCCGGATGTAATTCTGGCATTCGTACTGCAGAAACAACTCATGTTAGTAAAACACGAAGGCTGTTTTTATTCGTTTTCGCGTGCAATAAATAGGATGAAGATGATCGGATTTTGTGACACAACCTCAGACTTTCCTTTGCTCTGACACGAGCGCTTTGTGTCTTCGTCAGGTGCCCACTGTGTGGCCTGCAGGACAGAAATAGTGAGAAACGGTAGTGAGTCATTTTGACCAGGTCAAAGTACAGCAGAGAGGATGTTTTTTCCACTATTATGTACCTATTCCTTTACGGCCAGTGTAGAATAGGTACAATTCAGTAAGGCTAGTGCTGCACTTCTTCAGGTCCATTATTTTTTTGCAATTTTGTCTTTCCCATTCTGTAACAAAAATAATTCTATCCTCATCTGGTCACTCGTCCTGTTGCTGCCTCATATCATCATCCAGCAAAGCAACGTTTCTAAGATGTTGCGGCAGAGTTTATTCATTATATATGTCTGTGTTTTTCAGCAGAATTAATTCTCCAACAGTTCGCTTTGTCACGGGGAGCATGAAGCAGTCCACATCCAGATGAAGAACGAGTGGTTGAGTAGTTCAGATGAAACTTTGAGCCGGATTACGAAATACTAAAATGAGGACAAGGAGCTACCGGGGAGGAGACGCCAGCCACAAAGCGCAGTAGTGAACCAGGAGAGTTTAAGTACAACAGAGAGCGACTAGTGAGGGGAAGCAGCTGAGGGTAATGAGGCTGGGCAAAGGAGCGGAGCTGATGAGGAAACAGGAAACTTAAGAGCACGAGTGAAGGAGACACAGGAAGAGGACGCATGACATGGAGAAAATTACATTTAAATGAAGGCACAAGAAATTAATGGGAACAAACACAGATAAGAAAATTAATGACTCATAGAAAAACAAAATCTACAAAATCCAAACTCCTGGTGCTTTCCCAGCTCACAGTAGCAGTTTGGTGGGATTTTGGCAACCAATCTATTCCGTTAGCTTCAGTAAATGATGACGATAGTGATTCTGTTAATGTTTTCTGGAAAAGGAAAGTTTACTGAAAGTCGAAATTATTCACAATGTTTACTTTTAAACTCTTTCATTTTTCAAGCATTTTTCTTTTTTAACCTTCTAAACAAAGAAATATCCCTAACCTTGAAACTGAAAGGGTCTATTTGGGGAAAATAACATCACTCCTTCCAAACCCAGCCTAGAATTTTGTTCTAGGTTGGGTAAACCTTTCTTAAATGTATTTCTAAATGGAAATCTAGTCTTAAAATAATCAAAACTCTCAGCTGCCATGACCTCACCTGTATGAGGGACACGTTGCTTAATCTCAGTCGGAAAAGGAAGTTTCTGTAAAAGAAATGTTTCAAATTTTAGAGCAAAATGGCAGGCAGGTTGTCATCTGAGACGTATCAGCTTCACAGCACATGCTGTCATTAGTCACCTTGCTCCAACAATGAGCTGGTTTCTGCTCAGGTCCATGGCCAGCTGTGAGAAATCCTTCACCCCTGGATGGGAGAACTCAGACACCCACGACCTCAGAGCTGACGATAAGAAGAAAAGGGGAGAAAAAAGCGTTGTCAGAGAATCCTTTCGTTACCATATGAGCTCATAGCTCCAGACTCAGTCAAGCTTTTCTTTCAAACCGACTTTTTCTCAACTGATGACTTGATCAGTCTGACTGCTTTACCCGGTCCTTTTAATCTTTGACACCACCAAACCTCTTGATTTAGCTTTCCAAATTGTGGAGAAAAATGTAACTAAAGTCAGGTTATCGTCTTTTTAGCAAACCAAGATGGAAACTGCTTAAAACCCCATTCATATCATAGCTGCTTATGTATTAATGTCGGCAGATTTTCAGCCAGCCACTGAATACAAACAGCTATTTGAGCACTTATGTGAAATGCAGACAATCCGTGCACACGCCCCCCATTCAAAACACTAATCCTGGAGCTCAGACCGAGAAATGACTTGTTTGTTTTGCTGCAGCAGATTTGGTCTCCACTTGATAATTCCCTTGAAATGCTTTTATATGCCAACTCCTCATATTTGACATCAGTGTGCTGATAACACAGCAGTTGAATTTACTTTAACTTTGGCCATCAGGCATCGGTAGTGTTATGTCTGAGGGCTAAACACTGTTAACTTCTCTGAGGACTAAGTGCCCATTTTCCAAAAATGCACTCTGTCCCTGTCAGAATGTCATGATCATAACTTATCTAAGTCTGTGCTTTTTTACTGGGCAAAAGACTTCGGGAGGACTTTTCTTTATTCTACAAAAGAGATTCGACCCCTTATTGTAGTCTCACATCCATTCTTTTCGCCACTGAAACATTATTTTGCATTAACACAACACCTTGTCATATTTTTGAGCTGTAGAGGAGTTTCTTACATCACCATAATGCACGCCAGTACGGGTGCTGCGTGTGTGTCTCATCACCCACGTTTCCTATCCAAGCGTTTCCTGATTATTTCTAAAACTGGTCTTTTATAATAACGATGAGCCTAACTATTCAGTCTTCAACATGTATTTCCCTTATAAATAGGATATAGTCCCTGAGTGAGTGATTTGGGACTGAGTACATTTTCACTTCTAGTTATGCTGAAAACAGATGAATCATAAAAATAGCCTTAAAATCTTTTAAAGATTTTCCTCAGAAATCAGCTCATTGCGGCTGAATCATCCATCTCAGGATTCCATCTGCTGTCTGAACACGCTCCTCATTACTTTTTGTAGCACTCGAAACATTTCAAGGTGTGAGTCGGCACAATATCAGCGCATCTCCTTCATTACAGGTGGTAAAAGTGCGAAAGAAAGCGCACAGTTGGGTTTTGATGCGCTCACCTTGGTAGGTGGCAACAGGATGTTCCTTTTTACTGCAGTCCTCAGGTTTGATGGGCGGCTGCTGGCAGAGACATGTAGACCAGCAGATGACCAGAACTAGGCCACAGGGGAAGAGGGCCCATGCCCCCCACCCAGACGTAGCCATAGTTACAACCTCATTCAATCCTCTTTCAAGTCCTCAGAATCACCTGGCAAAGACATGGACCTGAATTAATACATCTATTAAATATATGTATAAAAATATATATTTATATACACTTAAACATTTCTGCTCTCTCTCTCTCTCCATCCATCAATATGAGCTTGCACCAGCGTCCCTGTTGTTCCTTTGCTGCCTCTGTTTATCTACTGTGGGTGTTCAGCCCCTCACTGTCAGCAGGACTCAGTCATGGCTAATTCACCTCAAAAGGCAAGGGCCGCCGATCTCACCAAAGCCAGCCCTTAAACCGAGGGTGCCATCTACAAAGCTCCTCCTGACAGAGGGGAGCCTTTCAGACATGAGGCTGAGCTCACCGCCAAACAATGGCTGTGAACCCTGAGCTGTGAGCCACATCGGAGGTTTTGTGTCAACATAAAAATCCATTTATTTACATCTCTTCAGAGATGCTCAAGAAAACACGGCATCGCCAGAAAAAAATAACATATTACAGAAAACAACATGTAATGAACACAACAATAAAGAAACAGAGAAGACACTGTGTTGGATCTATGCATAACTTAACTCGTTTAAAACAGTCTAGTGTCTGGAGCCTACAGGCAGATGTAAGCTCGTGGCTGCCTCAGCCTATGAGAGCAGAGGCAGTGAATGGCTGCCTGTCTACTGCTCACTGGCTGGACTGAATGTGTGCGGAGGCAGAAGTTTTCCAACCTGCTGGGTCTTACATTGCTGCTTAATGAAGCGACATGAACACAGCCTCCACCGCTGGCCTCACTTTTGTTATGGGGCTATGCTTCTCTGGCCGTGTGAAGGCCGGCCAGTGAGAGGGCCTAATGTTCTGGGATTTGTCTATTCAGCGCGATGAGTGGCAGAAGAAGCAGACGTCAGTCTGATTCTTGAGGGCGCTTGAAAATGCATGCATGCAGACTCTCACACTGTCTCAAACAAAAGCAGCAACTGCACGCTCATTGTCACCCGTCTAGAAGACAGAAAAGTTTCCAAATTCTCAGCCGTGCTGGTCATTACAACGTGACAATGAGAGGTCACTCGTCAGCATTACTGTTTCCCAGTCGAGCTTCTGATTTTAATCGTTCAAACTGTAAATCATCAAAAAAACAACCTCCTTTCACAATATTTATCGGGCTTCCAAATGTGGTTTGACTGATAAGCTGCTGCATGTTGTGTGTTTGGAGGAGAATGTAATTCAGGGCTGAGCACTTCTGGATTCTGCCTCCGTAGGAAGTAAAAGCAGCTCGCCCTCCAGCAGAGCACGCTCTCCCTGCAGCCAGGAGCATGTCAGAGCATTCATTCATTCATGTGTCCCAGGGTGGAGGAAAAACACCGCACAGCCAGAACAGCTTGTGAGGAGATTAGAAATACAGCCCCTGATTCATGTGATCGGAGTGTGTTTGGACTGGGGGGGGACACGAAGCAAACATGTGACCTCCACCAAGGAGAAATCCTGCCAGGATTTCAAACCAGGGAACCTGCTGCTGGGCGCCAGACCACATGCCATTCAACACATCACAGCAGAAATCAAACTCAGGTGGGCCTTTTGGCTTCTGTTTCAGATGCGTTTTCTTTCGGGGTCAATCTCCCACTCTCCCTTCAGGTGATTCCGCTGTCATATGTGATTTGGTTCCTTACTCAATCACACAGAAATAACACACACTTGGCCTTCCTTTTCATGACCCCACCCTGTAATGTTTGCTCTATATTAACAGGTAACATGCTTTTCAGACATCCAATAGAAAAGCGCACGGCTCGACATGGAATATGCTTAATTCATGTTAGTTAAAAAACAATATCTCAATCCTGAAAAGAAGCATTGATGATCATTATAATCACTATATGTCATTTAAGGGATCTCCGGCTTGAGAAACTGGTCTGTTGACCATCATCTCCTCAAATTCCTACAACAGAATCAGCACTGCTCAACTCCTTGTTCAAACCAGTGGCCATAAATAGACACTATTAAATGATGCTTTGACATTTATTTCTGGACAGCACTTGCTGTAGATTTCCAAAAATTTTACCCTTATATAGTAGACAGATTCAAGTGTTACCCCGAAGCATGTTGATCTTATTATAAATGAGATTGTCTCAGGGAGGGGACAAACGAAGGTTGTTGCGGCTGGAATCAGCAATTTTCTATAAAAAGTCACAATAAATATACGTCACGATTTAGATGGAAAGCAAAGTTGTTTTCAGTTGTTTTTTAGTCATCTGGGCCATGATTATAACAGTTTAATTAACAGATGTGAGCTCCACCACAAAAGAAGTTTGGTCAATTAAGCTGATAAAAAACTATGTTTTAATACCATCAATAAATAATTTGGCGTCTGAAAGGATTCAATTATTCACAAATCATTGGGCTGTGTTTTTATTCACAAAGCCCACAGCAGTGTATCTTTTTCAGAAAAACAGATGCATGAATTATTTTAACCACCTTTTTCTTCACAACCCCCGTCAAAAAAACCCTTAAAAACATTTTGTCCTAAATATTTTAGTGTCCATCCAAAAATGCAGAAAAGGTCCTCTCGTGTTCACTTAAAGACACTCACTCAGAAAACTCACACGCTTTCTTTTGTCTGTAATGGTTTGTCTCGGGATTATTTTGACCTGCTGCCGGTTTATGAAGGAAAGTGAAAGGCGTGTGGAGGAGCTGACAACTGGCTGTGAGAAGGTGCAGCGTCTTTTTCTTTCAAAATGTTTTATTCCCCCGCTGTTTTTTTTGTTGTTTTTTTTACAAAACAGCTATTATAGATAATTATATGAATTTTCTGATGTGATGGCCAGAAAGGTTTGGAAATATTGCATAAAAGCACACCCACAGGATTGCAGAGTGACAAAATGATCCCGCTGAGACATTGGTGTACACGTTAAGTGTGCTTCATTAAAATCCAGACAAACCCTCATTAGCGAGGCCATGTATGACAGCAGAAATAATTACAAGTAATTATTTGTTCATTCAGAAGCCCTGCAATTTGTTCCTCCCAGGCATGAAAAAATGAAGAGGGTTCCAGCATCTGACCCTTGTATATCAGCCTCTTGTTTACACCAGGATTTGGGCTCAGTCCAGATATCATGAAAGGGAACAGTGAACTCCCACTCACCTCTCTACTCCCCAAAACCTGAGATTCTAAACTCCAGTCTTAAATGTAAAAAAAGCTTACTGCACACCCAAAGCAGATTCCTGAAATTCCCTTTCGGACTCGAAAAATTCACAGCAAGCAAGCCTGCGGCTTTAAAGAATAGTGATATTAATCAACGGTGAAGTCAGTTCGTGGAGCCAACCGACTCCAAGAGGGCACCCAAAGTCTCTCCATCAAAATATTCAGAGAGGAGCATTTCCGAGGCAGTGTTCTCAGCTCCTTCCTACCAGGGTGAATGGCCTCTCTGTGCAGCCTGCCAACTATCTGCCAATGGCTGCTCTCTTTTACAAGTGAATAGACTGAGTTTAGCCACAGTTAAAAGGACACACTAACGTGCCATGGCTGTCCCAACAATGACCGCTCGGGTAATGTGCCAAACCTAATGATGCCGGTTTGGCCCCCGGCAAGAGGAGGTAGAGAGGAGGAATCTTAAAGAGGCACACAGCTGCACTGATCCTTCTCATCCTATCTCCCCATGCTCCTCCCTCAGTCCTCTTCGCATGAAAGCAATTTCTTTTGATTTCTGGCATAAATGACACAGTGAGGAGCTTTTTTGATTGAGGATTTCAGAACTTTAAGTGATGGAATGAAGAAACTGTGTGAAGAGGTTGATGGAAACTGGAACTATTTTCATGGAACGGCAGGGTGGAAAAAACTTAATCTGTAATTTTGGAAGATATTAGTGGTGTAACATCAGAGACGTGTGTGAACCCATCTGTTCCTCTGGTTCAGAGGCAGGGGCAGACAACTGTAACGAGTTGTTCTCTGATATAAAAGGACAGATTAAATCAGATTAAATCCGAAAAACAATTGTGTAACCTTTTAAAAATTCTGTGAAATATCAAATGAACTCAGTACACTTTGGAGAGTTATACTTTAATGTCTATCACTTTAGTGAACCTAGAGGCAGAATTAATTTTCATTCAAAGCTAAACTGCTCTAAATTCAACCAGCGACTAATGCAACTTTTGGATGTATTTGATTGACTGCTGACTGCAAAAGAATCAATTAAATGCATTTTATCCCTACATTTTCAGTTTCCAGAGCCTATTCTTACATTTAAAAAAACTGTAAAAATGTTAAAAAAGTAATTTAACATTCAGAGGACTAGTATTATAGGAGGGTCTACTTTTACCTTTATCCCACTGTTTTGTTGTCTTAACCTTTTCACAACGATAACCAATAGTCTATTCCATCAAAGCAATTTAAAGACAACATATCTGCTGTCAGTTCTGCTCTATTAACATGTGCAATGATGTTCGACATGGAAAGAATCATGTTTGAATATTTCAGTCCACAGAACCGCAGCCTTTACACACTTCAGTCAATAACTCCATTCTCCCCCATGCATGTAAACTGGTATAGCGGCAAGTTAGAATGCTGGGGGAGACTGAAAGCACACAGATCAGTGCAGATCCTACAGCACTCCAGTCCAGTGCCTAATCCAGAACTTTCATGAGAAGAAACACAGAACTTTCCCTCCTCTGCAAACTGGTTTATTAATAAATAATGCCCAAAGCTGCCCTGACAGCTCTTCCAGTGTGTTGGTTGTTCTATATTCTTTGGAGAAATGAACAGAAAAATCGTTTTGTTCAAACATCAAACGCCAAACAACATTCCTCTGAAAGGTACGAACAGTTCATCCGTCTGTTACTCACAAAGTGAAGCTGCCAAAACGTACCCTGACACACGCCTCCCCAATCTGCACGGAAAACTCCCTCACAAACTGAAAAGACATCAGCAGATGGAAAGCAGACAGCAGAACACTCAGGACCATCTCTGAGTGGGGACAGTGCAAACCATTTCAAACAACCTGACTCTCTCCAGGAGTGATGTTTCCGGCTTCAGACACATGCTTATCTCTGTGACAGCCCAG